AAGGTATATTTTTCTCATTATAGTTATATAAAAGGCAATTAGCTACAACGAATGTATCACTAAATTTGTAAATCTCATCCCTTATGGTTTTACTTTAAGATATATGTGTATTTGTGCATTCAATATAAATAATAAAATTTTAAATAAATAGCTCTTCTTTTTAGCATCGTATTCCAGCATTTCAATATCAAAATCATCTCTCTCTATCATAATCTGTATGTTAATATATTTTTGTTTTTGTTAATTAAAGAGTTTTTCTAACTCGGCATCAAGATGTTATCGACTGATCTCGATTTCATGGACGAGATCCAAATATCTTTCTTAGTATTTTACTTTCAAAGGTTTGTCAATAGTTTTATTGCGTTATCCTAAAGGGGACTGTGGTGCAGAAATTGTGAATGAATCACAAGACGAATAGGATGAAGTGTGAGGAATATAGTAGGAAGTGAGCGAAGAAATTTATAAAAGGAAATGGGTGAGGTAGAGCCTAATTGAAATTAGTCTGGCTTAAGAAGAGCAAATGGTGTTCAATTCGTCTACTTGAAGCATGTTATTATTATTATTTCCCTACTATTTTTTAGAAGCATAAAATTATAGAGTATAAGGTATTTAAGTTCGAATCATCTCGACTCAAAGATGTAAAAATTTTTATACATGAAATTAGTTGTTCATATTTATTAGAATTAATTAATTTGGGAAAGCTTAAGTGCTTTCAATCTTTATTTAAACAAAAATTTAAGATATAATTGTTTTGATAGCTTTTAACAGGCTGAACATATTTTGATTCCTTGAATTCCCTTTTTATGCAGCTGAAATGGCGTTAATATATTAAAGAGTCAAAGACATTTTATAGTTTGTAGCAACTTTCTCCAATGGAGAATTCAAAGTGGCTTTGATACCAGTGATCCATATCTGTCAACACTACATTTCAATATAAATACAGTAAAGAAGATAAAAAGCAATACTTTATAACAAGATCAATATTAATTGGACAAAAGTTGATTATGTTTATGATTACAAAATCTGGATTAATTTAAAATTTGTGGAATTTATTTATACGATCTGATTAATTATTTTTACTTTTTCAAAATGTGTAAAAGAACCACAGAGGTAATTTAAATATTAAAATAAGCTAATCTTTATACGAACTAGATTTATTTGCGTGAATTTGTGTGAATAGCTAAGTATTTGTAACATAATTGCACTCTAAGATCATTTGCGAGTTCGAGTAAATTGATGGAAAATAAAGGGAAATGGTAAATTATGTTGGTATTTACCAGAATTTCGAGTAGGGTAAGTTAGATAAATTAGGTTTTACCATTGTGAAAATTTTATAAGATGTTTAACAAATAAATTTAAAAACTTTTAATCAAAAATAATAAATAAATGCATTAAATAAATAAATAAATATTTACGTAAGTGCATTGCAAAAAATATCTAGTATATTTAAATTTACTTTACTTCAATGTACTTGAACTCACACACAGCCATAATAGTCCATAATCGTTAATTGTATTTTAGATAGTGATAATAAATCCATATAAACTTTACCTCCGCAGAAATTACAACTCTGGTGTGGATGTGAAAATCTCTATTTTTCCTAATTTAATTTTTCTTTGACACATTTGAAAGAAAACAAAAACATTAGCTAAGTTGTACGAAAGATTTTGAAAAACTTAATTTAAATGTATCAACAAAAATATATGTTTTAATATTGTACACCAAATGTACAATGTATACAACGATACAAAACTAGTAAATAAATAATTTACTATAGAATTACAAATACATAAGAGTTCTACGGATCTCTTTACGGTTTGGACGTTTAAGGTATTATTTTATTAGAAAAGTATGCAATTTATTTGAGTTCTAATTTTATAAATGTAATTTTTTTATTCACAGACTTGTAGTTCCTTTAGGACTACACCTAACTTAAACTTATGTATGTAAGTATGTACAATAAAATTGTAATATGTTTATATTTGAAATTGTGGTCAAACAATTTATTTCAAGATTATTTTCAATAGAATAACAAAGTAGTAATAGCTGAACTAATGACTTCAAAATTGCAAGAGGAGAGCGCAAGTATAATGCATTTCCACCTAAACAAATCAACTTAACCAGACTGAAGAGTATACCAGCATTTATACCTATTAAAGTTGTATGAAGATCAATATAAAAACCAGGAAGAGCATTATTCTTGCAAAACATTTGACTAAAATTTTGATCATAAATTTAATTTTAAACGTCATCAAAACTCTTCTTGTTCAACGAATACCAGTGATACTAATAACAGTAATAAGATGTCTCATAAAAATTTTTACGCTTCATTAGTTTGCAAAAAAAAATTAGAGGTCATCTGACAGGAAAACAGGAAAATACGTGTGTCCTATCTGTAAAACGTATTTTTACAGTTCATCAATTTTGAACTAAGTTATGTTTTTCAATGAAAATTTAATGAATTATCTCAAACTCAATAGAAAACATAAACGTATACATATAGGAGAAAAAGGTTTTTTAAGTGCAATAAAAGATTATCATTGTATACATACTGATGAAAAAGCATACAAATGTGTTGATGTAATCTTCTTATATATAAATAACTTAAATAAAAAAGTTTGTGTTCCCTTTTTCTCTGTGTTGCCGTTGACATATATGGATTATATTTATACCTTTGGAAAGGTGAAGACGTGCAAAAGTGCACAACGTTATTTTTTCAATGTTATTGTTTTTGTAGCGAATTGTGTATCGTTTACGGCGAATTTGTGTTTAATTTCGTGAAGTGATACAATTTTTTCCCGTTTTCTTTGCTTGCGGTTGGTTTATTGCAAATTTTAACGAAAATTAGATTGACAACGTTCGTTTTATTTTGGTGAGTTAAACATTTGCAGGTAAATTTTAAGAGTATTGTTTGATAGTTAAATTTTTTTACAATTTTGTTTTCAAGGTTAATTAGTTGGTTGATTCGACATCAACAATCATGCCTTACCGTAAATCACTTACAGGGAGAGTACAGAGACAAAGAAGTAGAGAAAATATGCGATTGCGTAGAAAACGAAATGTAATTAATACTACAAATTTAATTATTTTAATTAATGACTATCTATACAATATCTCTCTTTTTAGTCTAAACAATGTTTTGCTCGGCAGCAAACAAAACCCACAGTTCGTGAAAATCCAATTGATATCATTTCAGACAATCAAACAACAATCAAAGATGATGTTTCAGAAAAGCCCACACGACTATTATTTTTAATAGAAAACGAAAATACTAATATGATAACGCTAGAAAATGAAACTATAAAACAAGAGCCGGAAGTTACTGACGAAACTTCTAATAAAGATGATTCTACTGTACAAGAATTTATAAACGATGAAATAGCTGAAACATATACCGAGCAGCTGTTATTAAAAAATGAAACTACAGCTTTAAAGTTAGTTCATAAATTTTTGTGTAAATTAATTAATATAATAAATATATATTTTTATTTTTAATTTCTGTAGTGCTCATAAAGGCATACATATGGATGACCATCCTTTTGCATGTGACTTCTGTGATAAGAAATTTCCATATTTGAGTACACTGAAAAATCATCGTCGTTCCCACACTGGTGAAAAACCTTTCACATGTACTGAAGTAAAACTGCATTAATTATTATTTAAAATTAACTATTCTAAACAAATATCTTTTATAGTGTAAACAAAGGTTTTCAGTTAAGGAGTCACTCAATCGTCATAGGAGGCAACATACTGGTGAAAAACCGTTCACTTGTACTAAAGTAAAGTATTTTAATTACTTTTATTTAACAAATAATATAATAAGTTTAATTTTGTTAGTGTAATCAAAGTTTTTCGCTAAAGAGTTCACTCAATCGTCATATGAAGGGACATACTGGGGAAAAACCCTACAAATGCACTGAAGTAATTACACAAATGCAATTTATTTTCGTTTAAAATTAAATATAATAAAAATATTTTTTAAAGTGTAATCAAAGCTTTACTGCTAAACAGTCACTCTATCATCACATGAAACGACATACTGGTGAAAAACCCTTCTCTTGCATTGAAGTTAATATAAAGATTATTTTTAATTAAGAATAATTATAATAAATATATATATTTTTTCTAGTGCAATCAAAGTTTTGCTCGTAAGCAAGTGCTCAATCACCATATGAGACGACATACAGGTGAAAAGCCACACGTTTGCAATGAATGTGGTTTAAGTTTTTTTGAAGCTACTCGACTTCGTTATCATAGCAAAATTCATCTTCGTCCATTTGCTTGTGATCAGTGTGACGAAAAATTCAAATCCATTAAGCAGTAGGTTATTCTGTTTAGAAAAATAGGATAAATGTAATCCTAATTTTATTTTACAGACTTCAGCAGCACATCAGAATACATTTGTCTAATAGAACCGGTGAAGAAGACATCCAAGAACAGAAATTTAAATGCAAAGAATGCAATGTTACATACGTTACGGAGGAAGAACTTGATAGTCATTACGACATGGGTGTTCATAAAAGTAAGAAATATTTATTATATATTGAAGAATGTTTTCTTATTCTACAATAAGATCTACAGGAACTTACTGTAGATCTTGAATTACTGATTCATATTTTAAGCTACTGCAAAATGAATTGAATATATCTTATACGTATGATTATATCCCGATAAACGTTACAACGCCTTCCGGCATTTCATCATCATCATCATCCGGGACTATATAGTCCATGTAGGACCTAAACCTGTTTAACAACATCCTTTCATTCTTCTCTATTCTCTTCCTACTTCGTTCTCATAAATCTTAAGCGGTACTCTCATATTCGGCTTTCTTATCACATGTCCAATCCATCTTAATCATTGCTTTTCCGGTATTTAGTTACATATAATATAGATTCTGCATTTATTATTATATTTAAAAGTTTGCGAATAGATGTTCGAAACTTCAGGAAAGCATGAAAGCTTTAATACACAAAGAGACTTTCTTTATTCCCAACTTTTAGTTTTCTAGTATTAATGTTGAAAAATATAACAAATTATGTTATATATTATGAAAAAACTATGTGTTTTATAATTCACAGACACGAAAAAAGGACAAACAGAGGACTGTATAGTTTGCAACAAAAAATTTGGTTCAATTAAAACTCTTAATTCCCACATAATTGAAGTACATAAGGAGCAACCGCTGACTTTTAATAATACTAAATCTGCACTTAAATTAAAGAAAAATCGTTCCAATTCTTCATCAACAACAATGTACGAATCTAATGGTCTTAACGAAAATGCCAATACAAATGTCACTATTGCTGCTAATGACAGTACATTAACAGTAAAATATGCGGATCAACAATATATAATAGATAATGTAGCTAAAAAAGAAACAGAAGAATTGTTATTAGTAAACGAAGTGTATACTACATTACAGAATGCAAATATTAAGACAGAGCCAGTCGACTGCGCAGTCGATGATGTAAGATCAATGGAAGATAATATTATTTTACACAAATTTATAAAAAATGAAGTACCTGAAACAAGCACAGATCAATTTTTAATAAAAAATGAATTTTACACTGATATAACGATAGAAAATGAGAGTATAAAAATGGAAAATCATTCTTAAGATAAACTGATTGTATTTTCTCCGTTGTAATTATTTAAAACATTTGTCAAAAATATTTTTTATATAAAAATTTTATTCTATTCAGTTGTTTTAAAATTTTTTCCCTGATGATGGTTTTAAAAAACCGAAACGTCGGAAATAAATATTAAATAAGTAAAATAATAAGAAAAATTTTTTATTAAAAAAACCAAATTACAAAATCTGACTGATAGCCCAATACTCATTTATAATAAAGCTAATTATAAAAATGGAGTCAAAAAGTTCTGTTCCTTAAGATTCCTCAAAAACAATCTCAAAGTTTGGTTGATGTCAATATAGATAGATGATGCATCTGATGATGCATTATAGAAAATTTTCGAAACTCAGAGATATTGTAATAGGCAAAATCAAATTACTTTAAAAATATTTGATTGACCAGAAGACACTCAAACATATCTCCATATATTGACAAATTTTTATAAATAAATTCTAAATCTTCATTTATTTTGATTTTACTCTAATAAATACTTTTCAAAATATTGAAATATTATTGGTAATGACTGCATAAATTAAATTGTGTGAAAAATGCTGGACGAGTCTAATTTAAAACAACAAATTTTTCAAATTAACCAAAACAACGGTTCTTCAAGTAATAACTCGCTGTACAATAATAACTCACTACCGGTAAAGAGGATGGAGCAGACATATATAAGACCTTCACACCATATTGGTTTATATTTTTGTATAGTATTTTCTGTGATAAACTCAATATAAATAAATAAATAATTTCTAAGGTTTTTAATCTTAATAAGATTATAATAAATTATTATTAAATTACAATAAATTATCCTTTACTGTCTCACTTTAGTTTTCATATCACAGTTGGAAAAAAGTAACTTTACCTTTTAATTTAATTATATCATATATAGAAAAAATATATTCTATTTAACTTCATATATAGAAAAAAAGCTTTAAGTCAAGTGAAACTTGGCTATTGGTTTTTATTGTTAAATAGCCCGTTCAAGCTGACAGTGATTTATTGTAATTAATAGCAGTATTACAATTTTTTAAAATCTGTTTTCATGTTTCAGTACTAAATAAAAACTAACATGTTAAATTTAGAATAATTTGTAGAGTCGTTTCAATCGCCAATAAACAGTCAGAGGATATCGAAAAAAGCACTTTTGCTCAAATCGTCTCCTGTCAGTTACTTAATTGAAATAGATGCAGTATCATGAAACTCCCCTGAGTGTAATTGTACCACCATTATAGCCTAATCAACTATTTTCACTAATAAGAAATAAAAATATATCGTCACTATGAATCAATCATCACCCAAATCTTGGTTACAATCTTACTATTGCTAACTGAAAAAAAATTATGATTATAATTAATTATGAAGTAATTGGATAAAATAAATATAAATAATATTATAATATATAATAATATAATATTATAATATTATAATAAATTCTTAAAATAAGGAATTTAGTGAATTTTTTCTTTTATCGATTTAATTCGAAGCATTATCCTCAAAGTGGTCATTTTAACTTTAATAATAGAAATAAACCGACCTGTATCAATTATAATATTATAAATTTTAATAATATGAGTATTATAATAAATTCTCAAAATAAAGAATTTAGTAAATTTTCTTTTATCGATTTAATTCGAAGCATTATCCTTAAAGTGGTTATTTTAATTTTAACAACAGAAATAAATCAAAAGCGGCTACGTCAAACTTGTACAGTGTTTGTCCGATCTCGAATTTTTTTGTAAAAAAAACGATGTCGTTGTGATATCGTAGTACACCCGAAGGTTACATAAAAAATATGGTTTTTAATGTTATAAATTCTAAATATTTTTATACATATTATCCATGTATGTGACTTATAATATTATAACAATGCTGGTAAGAATCAAATTCTTGAAATTCAGTTTAATTCTTGTTAGCAAGATAAGCATAATCAAAATAAAAACCTTATAATGCTTCAAATTTAAATCTAGATACACTCCAAGCTATTATTCACTGCGTTTATATATGAATTGGATAATATCGTTATTGTAATTTTATAATTTTTGATGAAATCGTGTGTCAATAATGAATAAATATCTTCCGTGTAAATATGAACCTGTCGTATTTCATAAATTGCAACTCTGGGAGAAAAAATATCAATCTTTTTAATTTTATTTTGACTTTGACATATAAAAAATAGACACAAATATTGTATTGTCTTACGAAAGAATTTAGAATTTATTTTTGGTGATATAAAAGTAGTTTTCACATTAATTTTGTTCATAAAAATGTTTAATTTGTTTATAATTTGTGATATTATAAAATTATTTCGCTTAGTGTCAATTGTAAAATGCGATAAAATTTAAAAATTAGCTTATAAATAAATTACTTTATAAACAAATTGATATCAGTAAGATATTGTATAGGTAATTAAAGAGTTTATATTAAAAAAATATCCATTCAGTTTTGAATTGAACATATATTGTGTATAAATGTGTTATTATCTAGATTTTTGGATCTACAAATTCGCTGTCAGGTTTGATATATTTACCTTGTTTTAACCCAAAAATTACGATTTTATATTATAAACATATGTGCATATACATATATTTACATAAATGTGCAATAAATGAATTTGTTAATATTATTGACTCTTTGAAATTTTTATATTTTAAGCGTAAAACTAGCATTTTAATCAAATACTTTTGTAATTTGAAATGCACTAAGTAAATCACTAAGTAAAATGAAATATACTAAGAAACAAAAAGGTACATATGGATCACGCACTTCCTAATAAAAAACATAACTTATAAAAATATGTATTAAAAGAGTTTATTAGAATGATTCGTTTAGTATGATTTGGAAGATTTTCTATGACTGGAATAACATGCTTAGGATACTAATTTTAGAAAAACGTTTCAAACAATTTGTGAAGTTTTTCTTTTTAAAATAAAACCTACATTTGCAGGTACCTACAAAACCTACAACATAATAGATTTTTCTATTTATTCAAATTCGATTCTTATATTAAATATTAAATAAATTGTAGCCACAAAATCAATGAATAAAATGGGAAACTATATTCTGTTTTTAAAAACTAACTCGGGCTGTTTACAGTATCGTGAACACATCATGAACATGAACTTAAAAATCTTTTCCCGGTAGATTTTATTTACACTATCATGAACGTGAGATGAGCTTGACGACAACATGAACTGACAGTTCAGTTTACATTATCATGAACTGTCATGAAGCCTAAAATTTGTTTTGTTTTGTGTAAACGCATAAAACGCTTGTGTGGAGTAGTGCATTTCAAAATAAAAATCATCAACACCAAAATATATCTTTACATTGTATATGTATGCGTGTCAAGCTGAAAAAACGTAGCAAATTTCGTTGCTTGAAAATCTTGAACTAACATTAAACTCTTTTCCCGTTCTCATCTATCGACAACCAGTTTTCAAGTTCATTTTCATAATGGGTTCATGATAGTTTAAATAGTCCCATAGATGAGAGGAGGAAGAGAGTTTGATGTAGGTTCATGAATTTCAAGCAATGAAATATGTTGCGTTTTTTCAGCTTGACACGCATACATATACAATGTTTTATTTTGGTGTTTGTGGGTTTCGTGATTTTAATTGTGAAACGAATTTAATCGTGTTTTGAGCAGCAAGCGTTGTTCGTTCCGAGTGAAAAGTGCGTGATTTTTTGTTTTATTTTCTGATTTTATTCATTATGTTTAATTATATATATATGCGAAATAAATTAACGAAATATGTGTATAATTTTATATGTAATTTATTTTTAGAAAAAAGGTTTTGAATATAACATAACCTATAAATAATAATTTAGGTTTTCATGGCGAAAGACAAGTGGAGCAAACTGGAAACAGAGGAACTAATTTCAATTTACCGAAATTATCCACTTTTGTACAATATAAAACATGAAGACTATATAAAACCTTCTAAAAAAGAGGCTGCGCTGAACGAAATAGTCAGTCAAATAAAATGGATTAAACCTGACGCGACATGCGAAGTGATTAAAAAAAAAATTAAAACATTAAAAGATCAATATGGTGTAGAGCAGCGAAACATTTTAAAAAAAAGTGGAATGAGTACAGCAGCTTTATATACACCCAAATTATGGTGCTTTAAACAGCTAAGCTTTCTGTCTCATTCAAGTGCTGAACCCGTGTGTAGAAGTAATATAAACGTAATATAAATACTAAAGTATTTGCTTTAGTGAATTGTTAATTGTTTTATCAATTTGTAGGTGAACATCGGTAATGAGAACATAGAAATAATCCAACCGTCCATTTCAGCAGGCCAGTTGTCCAATTTAGCTGAAATACAAAAGCCAAAGAAGAAGAAAAATAAATTGGACACATTTTTGAACCAAGCCGCGCAATCATGTCAGCTTGTGCATGACTTAAAAACAAGTGTGGAGAAAACAGCGGCCTCAAAGTCAGCATCTTTCTGTAAATATATGCAGACTGAATTAGATAAACTCGATGAAACATTTGATGAAGCGCAGGATGATATCATAGCTATCCTTCAACGGTATAAGCGTAAGGAAAAATTGCTTAAATGTAGAAGTTAGATGTACATATCTGTAAATATTTAATTTCAAAATAATAAAAATACTTGCATATATTTAAATTCAAAAAATGATTTAAGGTGGTAAAGTATTGTATATATTTCCTATTTTAAAAAAATATTCGACAAATACCTTTCGCAAATTGTCCAATCTTGTGATATTTTCAAATGCATTTTCATTGTTTTCCAGTAATTTCATTTCCATTGAGCCATCTAACCTAGTTGTTAAATACTCCATGTACCATGGACTATTTTCTATGAGAAAGTTGTGTAAGACGCAACAACAAAGCACAATTGTAGTACATTTTTCACTATTTAATTTCAAAGTGGTTTGCAGAATTTGAAACCTGTTCGATAATATTCCAAAAGCTCCTTCCACACATAACCTAGCTCTACTTAGTCGTACATTATAATTAACAAATTTAGGGTTCGTTAATTTTCTAGAATGTGGTGTTATAAGATGTTTCATCAGAGAAAATGTATTATCCGCAACCACAACGTATGGCGTAATCCTATTATCACCAATATTTTCTTCTTTTAGAAAGAATTTATCCCCGCTCTTTCGGCCTTTCGAACGCTTCATGACAGTTCATGATAGTGTAAACTGAAGTCTTAGTTCATGTTGTCATCAAATTAATCTTACGTTTATGATAGTGCAAATAGGCCCTATCGGAGGCCGGTTTTCAAGTTAATGTTCATTGATCCCTTGATGTCGTTGTCCATTAATGCTTTAATTTTTTTTGAATTTTGGTTATCACTAATCATTATGAAACTATATAATTATTTATATAGAATGATTTTAAACTATTATAAAATAAAGTATTAATAATTAACATATACTGAATGGTTCTTTATATTTCAGTTAAATATACCAGTAGCAGACTCAACGATATGATGAAAAAGCAAACTGTCTGTGCGACGTGTAATAAAGAATTCGATTCAGTTAATGCTTTAAGTTCTCACATACTTGAAATGCATAAGGATCATTCGGAAACTTATCACAATGCTAACACTGCTCCAAAATTAGAATTAAATACTTCCGATTTATCACCAACAAATATTTACAGTATTGATGACTCCAGAGAAAATTCAATTAAAAATATTACTTCAGATGACGACAATAGTTTACTGTCAGTAAAATATGAAGATCATTCGCCGTTGGAAACAGATGTAATTGAAAATAGATATATAGCAGATGAAGGACATAATGAGAAGCACACTATATTAAAAAATAAAAAAATAAAGGTGGAAACAGAAGCTACTAATGATCTGACATCCATCGAAGATGGTGTTATTGCACAACAATTTATAAAAAAGGAAATAATGGATACAAATACTGAACAACTATTATTAGAAAATGAAATGTACACTGTTACGACATTAGAAAATGAGTGTACAAAGATGGAAACAAAGACTACACCAGAGAATCTATTTGAAAAGGTTGGAGGCGATAAAGATTTGTTCGAAAATGTTGTTGCTGCGCAAGAATTTATAAAAGATGAAGGACCTGAAACAAGCACAGAGCACTTCTTATTAGAAAACGAAATGTACACTGTTATAACGATAGAAAATGAGACTATTAAAATGCAACCAGACACTACTCGTTCTGAAAGTCCATGTAGTACGATTATTGATGATCGAAATTCGTTTGAAGATGGAATACCAAAAACAAAAATAAATTCCAAACAATTTTTAACAAAAAACAAAGAGAACACTGTTATTAAAAAGAATAATGGAAGTATAGGCAGAAAAGCACAAGCTACTGCTCCTAAAACTGATGAAAACGTTTTTACATGCACTAAAGTAAATACTATAAATATAATCATTAAAAAATATATTTTACAACTAAAAATTTTTATAGTGTGATCAAAGTTTTACAATCAAGGAATCTCTTGATCATCATATGAGACAACATACTGGAGAAAAAAGTTTCACTTGTACAGACGTAAGTATTTCAATATTTTTTATTTAATTCAAATATAATAAGCACACAATTTTAATAGTGTAACCAATGTTTCACTCGTAAGCAAGGACTCGATATTCATATAAGGCGACATAATGGGGTTAAGCCCTACACTTGCAGTGAAGTAAATTTTGCACTTACATTCATTTGTAATTAAATATAATAAGTATATATTATTTATAGTGTGATAAAAGTTTTGCTATTAAGAGAGAACTCAATCAGCATATGAGGCGTCATACTGGTGAGAAACCCTACATATGCACTGAAGTAAACATTGCAATTATATTCTTATAAAATTAAATATAATATAATATATATATCAATATTTTATAGTGTGATAAATGTTTTGCTGTTAAGCATGCACTTATTCGTCATATGAAGAAACATACTGGTGAAAAACCACACATATGCTCTGAAGTATATAATTTTAATATATCGATTTAAGATCAAATATAACAATTGCATAATTTTAATAGTGTAATAAAACCTTTACTCGCAAACAAGAACTCGATATTCACATGAGGCGACATACTGGTGAAAAACCCTTTTCATGCACGGAAGTATATAATTCATTTTTTATTATTTAAAACTTAATATAAAAATAATTTATGTTTATAGTGTAATAAAAATTTTGCGGTTAAGCAAGCACTTACTCGTCATATGAAGCGACATACTGGTGAAAAACCCTACACGTGCACTGAAGTATATATTACATTAAGACTGAAAAGTTTTCGGAAATTCTCATTTAAAATTCGCGCGCTGTATATTTTTCGATATTTTA